GAAAATCAGGAATTTCTTGTGATGCTGACGATTTTGAGGACCAAAACTTGGATTCTAGCAGTTTTGTTGTTGTTCATGGAGCAGGTTATTTTCATAGCTATTTCTTGAATCAGCATGAAGGACATTGAGCATGAGTGAAGATTGTTTGTTCGGCTATGCATTTGCATGAATTAACAACAAAAATTGTGGAGCGCATTGACCTTGGATTTATATTGGATTTAGAAAGGAGAGCTGAGTGATTGACCCCTTCCAGATATGTAGGAGTTGATCTTCAAAGTGATGTCCACAGTCCTCTTTTGGTAAAGATTTGCGATGCTGATTTATTGTTTTTGCCTTCAGGTTCCTTTGGGCACTTTCAGGCAAGCAAATCAGGGGTTCATAAAGGAGGATTGAACAAACCACTTGTCAAGGCTGGTTTTGTTGCCACACGCATTTCCGTAAGATTCATATTGTGCCTTTCCCACTTTATCTTATGTCAAATCAGGGAGTGTCAAACCTTTATATAAACTTATAGTGCTGGGTGGCTGGATGCACAAATAGCATGTAAGGTTGAATAGAATGGGAAACAAGTATGGCATTGAAGAGAAATACCAACAGAAAATGCTCGATATGCTTTTCAAACTTGTTTGTTCCTTCCATTATTTGTTGGACTGCAGGATATTCTTTCATATCGATGAAGTTTTATGTAATTTTTGCAACATGATTTTTTCTAAACTTGTGTCATTACTCTTGCACAGACTCGTTGCCTGCTCCCGTATTTATCATTTTTCTTGGTAATTTCTTTTTATTACAGGTTACGACTCTTAATCTTGAAATTGTTCGAGCACTAGCCAGAGGTATTGATCTAGGCAACTGATCTGAAAATAATTTGTTAGCCCCTGCTCTATAAGTCTTCAACCTACCTCAACGGAACAAGTGAAAAAAAATGCTATAACTAGTATTAATCTGAGTTTTCAAGAACCTGGTGCTAAAATGCTGTAAATTTCAACTAATAGTCGTTGAAATTACACAGCTTCTGTATTCTGTAGAATAGTTCTAATCACTGAAAATTTCATGCGAAAACAGATTTCAATTTCAAAAATGAAGATAGTGCTGGAGAATTTTATCATTTCTTAAGCTTGGTTTTCATATTTTCTTTGATGCCTTTTTCTCTAACATCTTTTGAAATTTGGTACTTCCTCTAACATTTAAAATTTGAAATTTGAACATTGAAAATGGTACTTCCTCTTGCAAAATAGGATATTACTTTGTAAAAAATTTGTCCATGAAAATTCTTTCTATTTTCTCATTGGCAGCTATTTCTGCATTGTGTTTCTGGGAATATAGCATATGACTCTAACAAAGGTTTTTTTTTTTTATGGCAGAGGGCATTCCTTCCATTGGAATGTCTCCATTTTCATGTGGATGGACAACTTCTGAAAGAAATGTTAGAGGCATTGAGAAATGAGTGTATTTATTTACTAATATGGCTCAAATATGGGACTTTCCGTGATTATCTTCAATATTGATGATGGAGAATTCTGTATGATCTCTTCTAATTCTGGTCTCTAATTTGTTTCCACAGATGGCATCTGCTGATTTATCAATGGTAGCTCAGGCAATCAACTCCGGATTCATACCTGTAAGATAGATTTCTTCCTCTTTACTTTTTTTTTGTGAATTGAAATCTTATGAATCATTGTTTTCTATTAACTTTACTATTTAAGGAACAAGAATAGTATGTATAATTGTACGCCTCAATCCCAAACTAGTGGAGGTCAAATTGATCAAAACATACCAGTTCTTATCTCTTTTTCTGCTGTTTTGCTTGTCAAATGAAACTGAACTTGTATGTCAGCAGTAAAATTGCAGCAGATGAAATTGCTTGGAATGCAGTACCCAGATATGAGGAAATACATGAAGATCCTGATCTTCAATGAGTGACAAACATATCGTATAAACTTGTTGACTTTGCAAATGGATGGAAATGACTAACCAAGGATTCTGAAATCTCAAAAACAGGAATTGTTATTTATCTGGTCATGATGTTTTTGCAAGCAAACAATTGAATTCTTGAGTCTAAAAGTGTAGCATATAACACTCACAGGATTATATTTAGCAACCAACAATATAGAAAAGCTCAGTGTTTGGATTGTGGAGAAGCTGTAAAATCGATAAGTTGCTAAAAACTTAATTTATAGAAATTTGGCTGCCATAATTTAAGGATTGCTCAATCATCATATAAGTTTCTGAAATTACAAATGAAAGGACACACATTTGTACTTCGAAATCCTATCTCAATTCATCAACGCATAAACGCCAGTCATGCTAGACTTTTAGAGGTTTTAAGGTCTTTTTGTACTATAAAATTTGAATAAATGGCAGAGGAGAAATTTAAGTTGCAAAGCAGCAAAAAAATAGATGGAGAAAGAGAAAAGAAAGAAAGAAAAAGGTGAAAGTTTTGGAGATGAAAAATTCTCTCTTAGACCTCCAGCAACACATATCAGCTTATTTGTATATGTGTTATTGGAGGTGATGATGGATTTCTCACTTTGTTAGTCGGCATAAACCACCAGGACATATTTCTAGTGTGAACCCATTGTATTGGTGTTTACTAATGCTTGAAGGAGGAGTGATCATTTTTCTTTCTCTTCATGTTCTTTGTTGGCTGGGTTTTTTCAACATGCTGTACTATCATAGTTCTCGTTTTGCTTTATAGGTCTTACATGGAGATGCTGTACTTGATGATTTGCAGGTTTGGTCCCTCTAAGGGTTGATATACTCTCCTGGTTTTTCAATTGAAACTGACATTTTTTTATTTGCTTATTTAATCAGGGATGCACCATATTGAGTGGTGATGTTATTATACGTCATCTTGCAGCCTATTTGAAACCTGAATATGTTGTTTTCCTGGTATCCTTTTTCCGTGACGTTATCTCATATTATTGCATTTCTTGGACAGAGCTTTGTGGTTCATTGTCAAATCACCTTTTGTTTCTCTCTGCGCAACCAGAATCAGATAGCTCAAAGATGGTCCACTTTATTAATTCTACTCCTAGCTTTTATTCATTTCTCCATATAAACTGTGCAAATGATGAGTTTTGAAGTAGGCTCAAATTCTTGTCAGTTTGATGTTGCATTTATGATGAAGTTCATCATTTAGTTCCTGGAATTGACTATCTTAGATGATCTCTCTTTTTGGTAGCTAGGCCAGTCACCATGGCATTAACCTGCATATTTTGTAATAAAAAGTGCAATTCTCTTCTTGTTATCCAATTATTTTGGACTACAGACAGATGTTTTGGGTGTGTATGATCGTCCTCCTTCAGAACCTAATGCAGTCCTCTTGAGGGAGATCGGTGAGTACTCATAACAAACTCTATCTTTTCAATGGATGATAGTCTCCAAAATTAGTTTGATATGTCACACTGGAAGGACATAACCAATTTCTAAAACACAGCTGTGAGTGTAGATGGGAGCTGGTCTGTTGTGAAACCAACACTTGAGGACATGAAAACACAAGGTTTGTGTGGTTATTTCAGCATTTGATGTTGCAAATTGCTATATGTGAGTTGGATGTCCTGTATTAATATGCATGGTGAGTTCATAGCACTTGAAATAGGCGTTGCTAAGCAGTAGTAAAACAATGCCCTCTTATGTGCGTGTATGAAAATTAGTTTTTCACAAAAATGACCTTAAATCTGTACTTTCATCTGCAGTATGACATTTCTCTAGAAGATGAAAACTGCTTGTGCAATAGAAATTAAAAAACTATATGGCATCCCCGCAGATATTGTTTACACCGGTAATATATAATTAGTGATAAGAGATTCAAATCTCAGGACAAGTGCCTGGTGGTTTTCCTGGCTTATTGATGCTAGTGGAAAATATGATTTTTATTCACCTTGATTAGAGTACTCGCAAAGTGATATTCCAAAAGGGGATTATAAGTCCTTTGCTGTGAGATCAACATACTTTTTTATTCCTTGCCTGCAGTTGAAACAACCGTTGCAGCCCATGATACGACTGGTGGAATGGCGACCAAGATATCAGAAGCTGCATTGATTGCAAAACTTGGAATTGATGTCTACATTGTGAAGGTGATTGATAGCTTTCAGCCTGGTCTTTGCTTTATATGTTGTCATTGTTTTTTTTTTTCTTTATCCTTTTGTCATATATATGGTTAAACACAGGCAGCAACATTTTTTTCTTTATCCTTTTGTCATATATATGGTTAAACACAGGCAGCAACAACCCATTCTTCGAGGGCTTTAAGTGGAAAGGTGAGAGGCGCTCTTCCTGAAGATTGGCTTGGGACCGTCATTCGGTTTGTTGGTGAAGGAAATAGTAACTGCTGAATGTTGGAGATTTTGGTCAGAGGCACTGAAGCTTAACCAAAAAGACATGTCTCACAAAATGTTAGAAAGATTTCACTTTTAGGACCACCCTGGCTGAACAGGATTCCTTGAAATTTATCGGGTAATTATTTGAGTAACTTGCCCTGGTCATATCTCATCAGGATTACCAACCAGGCAACCAGTGATACTCAATTGTTGAATCCTCCACGAGAGCTCATCCACATCTCTTAAGAATTCAATTGATTGTAGCAATTTGCATGCCACTTTGGATTTCCACTTTTGACAATGCCGGGAAACGTAACAAATGCATGAACCTTCCAGAAAACGGCATTCCCTTTGCAAAATAGCTTGTTAGTTTACTGTCGTATAAAGTTGTGATCCCATTAGTGAGAGTCCTTCCTCGATGACGAGCAGCTTGGAACCAGGAAAATGGCTGGGATTCTCTCTGGGTACATTAGAGCAGCAAGTACCTCACAACGTAGTAGAGGATTGTGCAACCACCCTCTCAAATTAGGATTAGCAAATGAAACCAAGTTTTCAAGACAGATCTCTTGCAATAGGTGCCTTCGCCTCTTAATCAAAGAGGCAAAAAACTTAAAATTTTACTCGCCAGAGAAAAAAAACCCAACAGAAATATAGAAGGTAACGCATGCATCACCAGGACGCCACGGAAAAGAACCGGAATCTGTAAGGAAATAAAAACTGTAATTGTTTGAAACCACCACAGGTGCCAAGAAGTGTATGCAGTCTTACTGGCAAAATAAACTTCCCCACACCATGAACCGCAAAAATATCATCACGGATAAAACGCCACTCAAATAATGGCAAGTCTTCATTTAAGGGAAGGCCGCATCTAGTACGGAATGTTCCTGAAACGGGACCAATTCTCAAACCCACATAGAACCACTTGCTAAACTACAAATATCAGCCAGTCAACCTTGGGCAGGCCCAGCACGAAGCAGGGTACAATTTACTTCGGGCCAACGTCCTTGAGGGCGCAGATCTGCTCCTCTCCCATGGAGGACATCACAGTCACAACAAGATCTTTCCCCTCGCCAAATCCATCCTTGATCTGCATTGCAAGGAGAAAACATCATTATCTAGATTCAGTAGTTCACAAATTATCCAAACTAGCTTCACTTGAAACAGGAGATATTTCAATTGGATGGAAAACAACAGCACAGAAACTGAAGCACATATGCAGAATTATGGGCCGCAGTTTGGCATTGCGTTCCACATGGGGTTGGCTTAGTTTCTTTTGTTTAAAATTATTTTTTATATATATTTTTGGATTGTTTTGATGTGTTAATATCATAAAATAATTTTTAAAAAATAATTGTTTTTTAATTTTAATACATTTCAGATAAAAAAACACTTTGAAAATTAACTATCACTCTCCCAAACACCCCTGTATGGCCAGCACAACACTTTTGCTGCATACCAAAACAGTTACAGAGCACAAAATATACATGCAGATTGGGCAATCATAATTTTTTTTTGAAAATAAAACATTTAGAGGGCAAAGAACAGCTGGAATCCTGGGAGGCAGCACAACCTTAATGCCTAACTGAATTCGTAAGGGACAAACAAAATGCCCACTAACCTGAGTGAGGAGACTCTCATCAGTTGGGAGCCTCAGGTCATCCTTGGTATTGCCATTCTCAGTCAGCAAGCTCACCTGAAATTTTAAATGCAGATTAGACCCAAGTTCAACTAGCCTACAAAAAACATCATACACTTAAAAGAGACCGCAAAACATACAAATCCATCCTCTGAGATATCGATCAGCTGATAGTCAGTACGGGTGACATGGGGAACCTGCAATGCAATGGAAAGAAAGATTCAGATCATGAACAAGTTTCAGTGAAACTTACTGAAAAATCATGTAAAACAAACTATACAAAAAAAATAAAAAATTGCATACATCACAGTTGTGGGAAGAAGGAACAATATCTTCAAGCTTTTTTCCATTGAAGATATCAATTGCAACAAAGTGACATTTGGCATGGCCGTGCTTGCCAGTTTTAGAGGTAGAAACCTCCACAACCTGTGAAAGAAAATTAAAAGCATGTCCTCGTTAAGAATTGTTAATGAAAAGGAAAAGGACAATGGCATCTCTAAAGAACCAATAGAATGGTTAAGAAAATATGATATAATGAATTACATACGACAAACAGCCCCTCAGATTTCAAAATAATTAGCAAAAAATGCAACACGTTCCATGGCAAAATATCCAAATATAGCAGACAAAATAATTTCTATTTTCTATAGCCTACGAGCAGATTCCACTGAACTCGTATTTATATTCAGCCATCCTAAAATCCTAGGTTCCTCGAATACTTTATTCTATCAAACCCAAATTAAAGTTCGATCATGTTGTTGGTTTTATGTATTTTTTCTTCCCTTACAAAACTAACACCAGCAGTTGGGTTTCTGCCTGTGAATTTAATTTACCCAAGTTATTATTCGACAAAAAAACTTCAAATTTCTTAACAGTTTATTATCAGATCTAAATGATTTATTTATTTCCACATTCGTTTGTAAAGTTCACTGCTGCTTCCAACACAGAACATAACCGACGATAAGGCTCCAAACCATTAAAAACACTATCGAAGAGAATCCAAATCAAAACAACACGCACAAAAAAAATCCATTCCGATCCAGCATTCATATAAAAGACATGCACAAATCTGAAACAGAACTAAACAAAAAATAAATCATAACACAAGAAAAATACATAATCCATTCCCAACCACCATTCATATAGAAGGCGTGCATAAATCTGAAACAGAATTAAACAAAAAAAAAAGTATAAATCTGAAACAGAATTACACAAAACAAAAGGAATACATACAGATCTAGAATAAAAAGCTAAAAAAAAGAGATCCAAAATAAGAGAGAAAAAAATGAGATATATGAGGAAACTAAACCTTGCAAGGGCGATTCTTGATGACAATGTAACCGTTCTTGCGAATGGTACCAGCTTGTTGAGGGTAAGTTTTCGAAGCTCCCGCATCAGCTTTTGACTCGAAGTGCTGCTCCTCGTCAGACATGGCCGCGATTGATAAGAGAGTTGCTATCACAAAACAAACAAAATACCGATAGAGAAAGGATAGGGAGATAGTGTGAAGAGCAACTGATTTATCAATTTGTACTATTTATAGGGGATGCATTTTTAGATAAGTGGAAGGTCTTTAGGGTTTCTAAAGTTGTGATTTTTTTTCCATGATAGCAGTGATTTTGGGCAAGTTTGTACCGTTGATTCAAGGGATTAGCGGTTAAAAATGGGATATTTTGAACCATTGGATTTAAGTGATTGACAGTTAGTACGGTATGCTTGGGGTAATACTGTTTGGGATGGGTTGAGGTTTTTGCATTTGTTATTGTTACTGAGATTTGTTTGATTATAGAAAAGTTTTTAAAATTCAAATTTCTTATAATTTTTTACTTCAATGCATTTATTTTTTATATTATTATTATGTGATTTGATTTAAAAAGTGGTAAATTTTTTTGTACGGACACTAGTCCGCATCATACAACTTAATTTTTAAGTTCGCTAAATTCATCAAAATATAATTTTCAAAGTTTTTTTTATTCTAAACGGAGATTACCAGCCCGGTATGATTAAATTACCACACGGCAATGCATGTACGCATATTTTTTTATAAAAAAATAATAACATTTTAATTGACAAATTTATAATTACCTTACCTTGTTAATTTAAATATTTTTATCTTATTTATAATGTTTCAACTTTCAAGAGGTTCAGGTATGTTACACTATTCATATTCATATGAATAATGATAAACTATTCATGCTAATTAATTAATATAAATAGTGCACAAAAACAACGTTTCTAGGTGCGCTACACTATTTATTATATTATTTTATTATATAAATAATGTATGTTAAACTGTTCATGTTAATTAATTGATATAAATAAAGCACAAAAACAATGTTTCTAGGTGCATCATTGTTTACTATATTGTAACATAATTGAAACAAAAGCAGTACAAAGTTGATCCATGAATAATAAAACCTGTTTATTTATAACCAAACATGCAGAAACTGTGTTTTATTTAAAACATAGCCACAATCGTTTAAATAAACAGCACTAAAAACAAGTAGAAAAAAAATGAAGAGTCTAAAAAAATCTTATAAGTTCGTACCCATAATTTCAGCTGTTTGTTCTAAAAAATTCAATTTTTTTATTAAAAATAATTTTTTTATATGTTTTAGATCGTTAATGCATTATACTGATTTTAAAAACAATTTTTTAAAAATAAAAAATATAATTTTAATATATTTTGATAAGAAAAACATTTTAAAAAGCAATAAAGAATTTTTACATTTTTTACATAGTGAAATACAAAAGCACCCGCTGTTGCTAAATTCTAAACTCAATCATTTTGCAGTCACAAATCACTCTTCTGTCCCAGTCACAAATCATCAGCTCTACATTTTAATGTTACAAGCATTACACAATGATTAACTTTGGATTTCTATGCAAGGAGAATTAATAAACCCTCAGTAAAGAAGCCAAGGAGATAAATCCGCTACACTTGCTCAAGAATGCGGTGCCCTATGTCAGGGCATAAAAATATGGACGCCACGGTGTGAAGATGGTTTGGCCGTTTTGAACAATCTGAAATACAAATAAATGATGGGATAAGGTAAATGACCACAGCCAGCAATCGTAAATGAAATGATTATGCACTTTATCCTCCACATTTTGCAGGTTGGAACAAGCTCTTGAGAACGAAAGGGCTAAAGTAATTCACAAAAAACAAAGGGAATTGACTTCCTTTATTAATATGTGGGCACCAACATGCCATCTAGTGTCACTGTTATAAGCAACTACGATAAAAATTGCAAAGCGGGTTTATTTCTAAATTGGATTTATCACCTTCTTTACCAAGCATACGAAAGCTCATTTCCTACTTGAATCTCTTGAAACTTCAGGAGAATATCCAATGTCGCTGCCATCCATTTTCTGAATAAATATTTGGGGGGGCACCTCCCTGTCATGGAAAAGTCACAGTGATAAATATGCATGGTCAAGCAATTTGATCAATAAACACGTATGTGGTAATGCCATGCCACGATCAAATACAAGAACATCGTTGTTGTGGTCAGGTCTCCTTGGATCATGCAACGCGGATAAAGTGGAGTAGATATGAGAAGAAAAGACAAAAATATTCATAATTAAAAAACTAGATTAAAAAGAGGAGATTGTGAGATTGTGAATAGATGCATCAAGATGTTTTGGAAACCATATGACAACCATGAAAACAAAGTAACCCAAGCATAATAGGTATGAAAGAAACACGATCACGATTTCTAGCATTAATATTTTAGAAGAGTATAGTAAAACAAAATCACAAAGCAGTTGGCTACAGGAGTGGCATACGTTTCATTAGCTTCTTGGTATGTGTAGCTTGATGCAACAGCCAAAAGTTGCCCCACATGGTTGTATGATAAGGATGCCACACTGTTTGGATATCTAGGAAACTAAAAACAAGACGAGAAATTAACCACTTTTAAAAGAAGTATGATTCAAAAAGAAATCATTGTGCAGCTAACTATTATACTCTGATCAGATGGAATATACCTCATGTAATTTTCTTTTACTTTGAGCATCCCATGCAGTAACATAGCCTTCATTATCACCAGTGACAAAAGTACCACTGATGCTAAATCAGAAACATTCATCAGTTTTAGTTTCAGAGGTACACAACGGCAAACATTTGACTTGATTGTACTTACAGTGGATTGAATGCTATGTCATTAACAGATACTAGATGTGCTTTTCCATCCTTCGTCTTAGGGTGACACCGAAAAGTGTATCTGCAGTTCATTTTGAAATGCACAAGGCAAAATTATTAGAAAATTGTCCACATCAACATCTCAAATATGCGACACTCAGAAAACATAGAAAGGAACACACCAAACACACACACACACACACATATCTATATGATGAATACCAGCTCAAATACTTTATATATATATGATGAATACCAGCTCAAATACTTTGTTCTGCAGCATGAGGGCAAACACGTATCACAATGATCAAATTGAAATATCCAGGGCACTAAAAGCAAGATTGCAACTTTGAGAACAAATTATGGAACTTGCAGTTGATATCATCACTAATAGGAGAAACTATATACTACTTGCATTAAAAATGTATTCGATGATGAAGGATTAGAATCTCAACATCAGTAACTTAAATCCAACTTCTTAAGAGGAGCAGTGAAACCATAGAAGTATATCTAGTCTAGTGCACATGTATGTGAAAAAACAAAAGAAAAATAAGGGCTAAGTCTCTTTGCTCTAAAAGATTTAGAACTCAATAACCAATAGGATGCAATTCCATTCTGCTTGTCAAGGTCTAGCTTAGTAATATAGTTGGAAATATCCTATGATCTCTAGGATGCCTCATGTATTATAGAACTCTTGTCACGTTTGCAGAATTGTCCTTGACCTTGGGATAGGATGATAAGAATGTGGAATGGCATTAAGTTCAGTCTTGGTTAAAAGTAAAAGGAAAGTGTGACATTCTGGGGATCTGCACTGTGAATAACTTTAGCAGTGGGGCGGAAAAAAACACAAATATCTCTAGCAAAACAAAGAATCCAAAGATTAACAATAATTGGAAATGCACTAGAAATTTGAGATCTTCAACAAATGAAGCATGCTTGAAGAAATATAAGCAAAAGACTGACCTGATGGAATTTAAATTTATTGGATTTGAGATCTCTACAGCTACCCGTCCATCTATTGATCCAATTGCATATCCTGCAAGAAAAAAAAAATCCTATTTCAAAAGATTGAGAGGGAGAGGGGAAGAGAAGGAAAAAAAGGGAATATAATGCCTTTTATAATGGTTATGGGATGATTTAAGCCTTCTTACTATGCGCAATGTATATATATATGTATATATATATGTATATATATATATATATTACGATTAACCACACACTACCAGTATCTTAGTACCTCTGGTATATGAAGTTGAAGCAACACATCTTATCCCTACATCCATAGATGATTCTTTTAAATCAACTGCTCTTTCAAAGTTCCGCAAGTCATATATATTTACCGCTGCTCCAACAGCTACCATCAAATCAAACCCAGAGACAGAGATGGACTCAATTTCTGCATCTAGATGTCTGAAGAGTGTAAGAGGATTTGCCAAGCGGACATCCCAAGACATTACCTTCTTGTCCAAACCAGCTGAAATCACTTGACCTATAACAGTCGAATAGAAACTTAACGCCCATCTTCTACAACCATATATGTTGCATTGCCAATCATACATATCATAATGTTACAAATTATGATGCAAAGAACAGAAACCCTAACCTTTAAAAAGAAATCAAAAGGATGGAATGCAAGATCTCTAGATTCTACAAGGTGGATGGATGGTAAAATCCCCAACGAAAATGCATGCAAAGGTCTTATTTTTGGTTGCTTCGGCTAGGTTTTCTTTGATATTCACCCTATTTGTGTATAGTTCCAACATGCTAACTAGATATATGACTGATCATATTCCGCAAACAGTTGACGGGATTTAATAGTGCTCTGTAGAAATATAAAGATCTCCAATGAAAAAAATATAATGTTAGGTTGAGGGCGCATATCTCGTCATCTTGCAGAAAATTACCAAAAAAGAAAGCAATATGTGTCATATTCAAAGTTAAATTCGTGTGAGCATGGTACAGGTAACTTACATGTTTCAATAGAATATCCCACACATGCTGCTATATCCTGATGATTTCCAATAGCATCATTAGTTCCTGAATGCAAGTCATACCTAGAAAAATTTGTCCCGAAAAGAGTCAAGATATAATGCATGAAAACCATGGCATACCACATCAAACTATAAAAATAAGTAAAACCACGTTTACAGTCCAAAGATTTTCTCTCTAATAAAACCATGGTAATCAAAAGCATAATCAAGCAAATTAGCCCAATTGCAAAAATAACCAAAATCACTACACGAAAAAACGCCAGTAATGTGTACCAAAAGTTTAAAAAAACCTTTAAAAAACGTAGGCTACTGAAATGCTAAGCAAGTTATGATCATTGTATTGGAAGCAATTATTCAGTCGGAGTTAATAGTGACACAAATTGATCCACATTAGAATAAAGAAAGATAAAAATGTAGGAAATACAACGAAACTGAAGCTGGGTTTTACTTTTAGAGTTCAAGTTGTTTTAACAACAACAAACCTTATAATGGAACCGTCAGAGGCAGCTGTAAAAGCCACAGACTCAGTCTGGAAACAACAATCGAGAAGCGCAGCTTGTGAGGGAGCAGGAGCTTCTAATCTGAGCAGAGAGCTATCCACATCGTATAATCGAAGTTTCTGCACAATTAAATCACATATACATAAATGAAGCAATTTTGAAGGGGAGTAATAAATAAATAAATAAATAAAATAAGCAGGTGCTGACGGAATCCCAAGAAGAAACGAGGAGATTATTGGATTGAGGGGCGAACTGGACCCTGGAAAGTGCATCTCCGATCGGGTTTTCAAAATTTAAACACTCGCCGTTCATTTGGGTGTGTGTGTGTGTGTGTGTGTGTGTAAAGATCGTGTTCGAAAATCAAAAGAAACAAGAGGGAGAAAAGGAAACCTATGTCTGGTTGTTTATTGTGATGTGTTGAAGATAACAGAAGCAACTGTGCTTTTAGTCTTAAATTAGTTAATTTTCCTAATAAAGGGGACCATAAGATGTAAGGAGGGGGGGTGGAGGAGAAGAAAAATGTTTATCCAAGGGAAGTACACACAACCAACTGGAATTGTCTTGTTTTTACTCTTGGTGTCTCAGATGTCAACTGAAATTGTTATAATTACAATAATTTGTTTCCTAACACGTGTGCATGATTGGCACTGGAATTTGGGCATACTTTTAATGGACAAGCACACCAGCCACCTGCAATGTTTCCGATCCATCAACCTACATTTTGTGAAACTGAAGCAAAAGCTGTCCTCTCCCATGCCTTGAGGAATGAGGATCTGAGGAGATGGCAGCAATATATCTTTCAGTATGTGGAATGGCCTGGACAATCTCGTTGGGATCCCCCGAGATTTCTCTAAATCTCAGATGGCGACTAACCATTTTCAAGTTAAACAGACCCAAAGAGAGACTTCAAATTCAACAAATCTCATAAACACATTAGAAAGATATAATAAGCTACATGGAAGAAAAACATAATGAAGGGATATGCGAGTTGGTTTGTGTTGTCGTGTAAACTGATTCATTGGCAAAGGACTAGAAATTTAATCAACATCACAAACAGTCATCAAATCATTTCCATTGCTCAAATCACCAACCAGCACACCACAGGCTACCTTCTGATGACAGTGAAACATACAAGTACAGATGCACACACAGTAAACCTAAAATGATTCTAAGATGCCAATTCACATGCTCCAGTGTCATTAAGCCAAACATCCAAATCGAAGAAAGTTCAAAATGAGCAAAATCTTCAACCACTCAAAAGTAGTTTCATATATACAGAGTAAGATTATCTTTGCGGCTAAAGATCCAAATATGAAAAAGAAAAACGTTTGATACTAGCCAAATCCTCCTTTGTTTTCCTCTTAATCTTAGAACCGTGTTCTTTCATCTGGGAGGTAGAAATCAAAGCGAACATCAACAGAACCAGAATTTTCTCCAGTATCTTTGTACTCAATGTTTGTTATTGATCCACTCTCTTCTTCCTGATATCCTGGCTTCACCCGCCGTACAGGCACCGTCACAGAGTACACAGTCCCAAGATCTGTATCAGTTGTGACGCTCAGCTGAACTTTATCCTGTGATTCTATCTCCACAAATTCTGATAAAGCATGCACAATGTTGTTCACAATTTTCCGCTTTGCCTCATCACTAACTGCACATCTGTCAGAGAAGAGAATCATCTTCAAACGCTGTTTGGCAATCCTTGCATTTGAGCTCTTTCTTTGTGTTGGTGAAGGGAATATTATCCTCCAAGCCAAGTTTAAACGCTCAAAGAAGCTCATGTTTATGGCACTTAAAAGCAACCTTTCAGCTTCTTGATCAATAGCAGTTGAGGACAGTTGATATTCTTCAGCAATTCCAGCAGATCGTTTAAAGTGACCATGCAATTTACGGCTGTCAAACACGCCACCAGGCCACTTGAGCATGTTTCGAGAAGGCCCACATCCTCCATTGAGGAAACCAAGGAACTCAACCTATACATTAAAGAACAAAAGACCTAACTGCAGTGAGACATACAACAATACAGATGCCAAATTCTGCTGCCCAAAATATTTCAATGCTAAAAATACATAGGTGTGAAAACACAGAGCAAAAAATTTTCTGCTAACTAAAGTAGATTCCACAAACAAATATCATAACAACTATCTGCATAGCATTTGGTCATCCTGGATCCATGCTGTTTCATTTTACTGAATGTGGCATGGTTAACATGCGCGCGCGCGCGCACCAAGTCTTTGTTTTTCTCCCAAGTAAATGCAGAATTAGTATATACATCCTCAGCTTTAAACAACCTAGCACTCCAAATTTATTTTTCTCTCACTGCTGCGTCTCAACTTGTCAAAATCAACCAATAAGTCTTTCATCATATTCCTATTAACAAGGTGTTCATGCAACACCATCTGCTGCCATGCATCCACATCAACCAAATTAAAAGCACAAAACACCGCATAATCTAGTTATATATAGAGAGTGAGATTGAAATACACAGAAAATAATTGTGATAGAGGCAAAGTAAATTTTATCACTTGAAGCCTGTTTAATTTATTATTGTTTTCTCTATTTCTAAAAGTTTGTGACATCGGGCCACTCCCATTGCTGAGAAATTTGCAGTTTAAATGCCTCTCAATTCTGCAGTCCAGGAAATTACGTGTGGAAAGATCAAAAGTTAACACAATTCAACGTATCCACAGCATTGGACAAATGTTTCTTAAAGTTTAAAACAAGAAATGCTCAACCTTAGAGTATTCAAATCTAAAGCCAGGATATGAAACCTGTATAAGAACTCGTGCCAACAATTTCACTTCACTACAATCCGGTTTCAGAATGCATTAGTGTGCCAAATACATTACGGCAAGCAACTTTCTTAACCATCGATTTTGTAAAAGATTATTTTCTCCTACTTTATTGCTAACCACTGCATAAAGATTTAAAACATGTCAGATAATATGTAGATATGACACATGATCTCATATGCACTGAACTCTATAGGCCAAATAACCATGAACCCAGATCACCAAATGAAACAATTAATGATAACCCATGACTTACCATCCATAGCCAATTAAAAATAACATTTGTATGCCCGCGTTTTAGTAACAAAAAGCCAGTCTTCCGTAAAAAATAACCCAAAACCCCAATTCAACTCATTTCATTTCCCTTTGTATTTCTCAAATTCCTTAACCAAACAAATAAATTGGCATAGTATAGGAAGAACAACAGAAAACACACAAGAAAATAGAGATAATTTAACAAGGTAACAGGGTAGAGGAGTGGAGACCTTGGAATTTGAGGGAGGCAAAGAACATCGAGGAGGGTGTTTAGAGTAAGAGGCCAGTGTTGCCGAGACCCTCAGATCTCCTGATATCGCCATTTTCAATTGTTGCAACCACTCTTTCTCTCTCTTGCTCAGGCGCTCACACGCGTACACTCTCACTGCTCTTTTTCTGCTGGCGGAGTGGCAATCCTGATTCTCACTCTGCCTTCTACAGAAGCAGTCATTGAGTGATATTTGGCCTCTTCCAACGACGGCGTTTTTGTTTGGTTTGGCTTGCAATTATTTCGTTGTTGATGACCCAAAAGCTACTTTTTTGTTATTATAATTTTTTTTTAAAAAAAATAATAGCTGCTGGTTGAATTAAAATTATAGTGAAAAATATCGGTGAATAGAAAGCAGTTTAACAGTGTTTGTTTAAAATCATTGTAGATAATATAATACTAAAAAGAATATAAAGTAACTCCATAGCTTCAAAATTATAAGAAATATATGATTATTAATATATAAAAAATATAGCAAAATAATATTAAGTTGCTAGTTAAAAAAAAATACTAATAATAAATGTATAAATTACAAACTTGGTAAGAAAGAATATACGCATTGTTATTATCTATCAATTTTATAAAGTATAAATTAGTTTTCTAAAATACATTTAATAAAATACAATAAAAAACATGTTATTAAAAAAATACTAATAATACTAATACTTGTTTAATTAAATTATAGTTTACTTTTCATTCGCACCAAATTTGACCCCTTTTTTTTTCTAACTCATTCCATCCATTTTCCATTGACAAAATAAATTGCAAACCTTTTCTTTTTATTTAAATACAAAAGGACGAGATAAAGTTAGTTAAAATTATAAATTAGAAAATAAAAATCCAAAACGTTTCGTCCCTCTCCCTGTCCGCAATCCACTCCACCGTCGTCCTTGTCAATATAATCCATCGCGATTGGAAAAATGAAACAAAGCCCAGCAAGCAACGTGCACAGCATCTTCATTCGTTCACCTCTCCCTTTTCATTCCTCCCCCCTGCCTCCACACGGCACCTCTCCGGCACACAACCATACGGCAAAATGCATAGCGAAATGCGTTTGCAGCGGTAATTTTTATCAAAGGGGAAGCTATGATTTTCAGCTTGGCACAAACTGAGGTTCAAAACTCAGTTTCAGCTGGGCCCAATGCAAAACCATATAGCGAAATGCATAGCGAGATGCGTTTCTCTGGATATTGATTTTTTTAATTAATTTTGTTTATGTTTTTATACTATTTTAGTATATTAATTCTGAACACAGATGATCATAAAAATATTGACGGTCAGCGTGACAAACGGTGATCTAAACTTCCATTCCATTATGATAAAACAGTTAAAAAAATACACAAAAAAAAAAGCTAAAACAAAACACAAATTATATTCACTTGTTGTTGTTGCTGCCTTTTCGTCATTAAAATATATTTACAGTTTTGGTCTCTCAAAAAAATTAAAAATATTTTAGTATCGGAAATATTTTAGTATTTTCATATGACTTGTTAGTTATTAAATAATTAATTGGGATATAAATGTGTTTTTTTTAATTTTAAAAACATGGTAAGATAATAAAATTACCTTCAAAATCAAAGCTTCAAGACTAGCACATAATTATATCTATATTTTTTTAATTTTTTATAGTAAAATAACAAGATCACCATTTAAATAAAAAAAATCAAACCTTGCATTCAAAAGCCTTTTCACTCTGTTTTTTTATCTTGTTATTACTAATTCAACTAGCAATGTGACCTTACAGTGATAGCTAATTAAATTTTAAATGGGAAAAGTTTCAAAAGCGTGGAGGGTGTCCGTACATTTTTTGAGAGTATACAGTGTCTCTGGGTAACAAAAGAAACATCCTTTTATGATATCATTTCAAGACTAGCACATAATTATATCTATATTTTTTTAATTTTTTATAGTAAAATAACAAGATCACCATTTAAATAAAAAAAATCAAACCTTGCATTCAAAAGCCTTTTCACTCTGTGTTTTTTATCTTGTTATTACTAATTCAACTAGCAATGTGACCTTACAGTGATAGCTAATTAAATTTTAAATGGGAAAAGTTTCAAAAGCGTGGAGGGTGTCCGTACATTTTTTGAGAGTCTATGGTGTCTCTTGGTGACAAAAGAAACATCCTTTTATGATATCATTGAAATCTTCATCGTGTTCTATTTTTATTTTTATTAGTACAATGGATGTTGATGACAACGAAATAGTTTATTATTGGTAATATTTTTTTTTATTTTCTCTCTCTTCTCGTTAAAATTAGACTTTTATTCTTTTTGTTGTTAATAATTTAATTTCAGTTATTATTATTTTTATTATTGATATTTTTTATAAAAAATTTATTTATTTTAAATTTCATAATCCAACCACACAATTTGTACACGTTATTTTTTTCAATTTAATCTTTATTTTTTTATTTTTAAAAAAATTTATTGGTTTTTAATTTTATTATTTTATTCAAAATTATGGTGTATTTTTTTAATTTAATCTTTATTATTTTGAGTTTTTTTATCTTTTTGTTAATTTTTTATTTTAATTTCACCATTCTATTAAAATTTTGTAACTATCTTCTAATTTATTTTTAACTTTTATCCTTATTTTTTAATTGTTATTTTTTTTTAATTTTTGGATCCTAACATAGATTAACTCACAATTTATTATTTAAGTTACATATTTATTATACTAACTAGGCTTGAACCAAATTAATTATTTTTATTTTTTTATTTAACTTTATTATTTTTTATTTAATCAATTGAAAATCTAACATCTTTTTTGTTCTAAGTTATCGTACTTTTTTTAATTTGAAGTTATCATAATTTTTTAATTTTTGCTTGTTTATCGTGCTGTCCATTTTTTTTACATATAATCCAAATAAAACTAGCTTTTTTTTACCCATCAGCTTCGTTATGTTCTATTTTTATTTTTATTTTTATTAGTACAATGGAGGTTGATGACAACGAAATAGTTTATTATTGGTAATTATTTTTTATTTTTCTCTCTTTTTTTGTTAAAATTAGACTTATATTCTCTTTGTTATTAATAATTCAACTTCAGTTATTATTATTATTTTTTTATTTTTATTATTCATATTTTTTATAAAAATTTTATTTATTTTAAATCTTATAATCTAACCACACAATTTATTACAAGTTATTTTTTTCAATTTATTTTTTTTTTATTTTTTTCTTTAAAATTTTTATTATTTTATTTAAAATTATGGTGTATTTTTTTAACTTAGTCTTTATTATTTTGATTTTTTTATCTTTTTGTTAAATTTTTTATTTCAATTTCACCATTTTATTAAAAATTTGTAACTATCTTCTAATTTATTTTTAAGTTTTATCCTTGTTTTTTAACTATTATTTTTTTAAAATAATTTTGGATCGTAACATAGATTAACTTATAATTTATTATTTAAATTACATATTTATTATAATAACTAGGCTTGACCCAAATTAATTTTTTTTTATTTAACTTCATTATTTTTTATTTAATCAATTGAAAATCTAACAACATCTTTTTTCTTCTAAGTCATCGTACTTTTTTTAATTTCAAGTTATCATAATTTTTTTAATTTTTGCTTGTTTATCGTGTTGTCCATTTTTTTTACATATAATTCAAATAAAACTAGCTTTTTTTTACCCATCGCGGCTGTAACGTGAACCGCAGTTTTTTTTTCCCATGTATGTTAGTATGTTAAAAAAAGCGCAATAATTGTTGACAAACAAGAGAAGTGGAGAAGTGGTGGCGCAGCCACAGCCAAGAAACGGGGAAGACAAGAAGAGGGCATGGATCGCGTCATATAGTCTTTAACTTCCCAAGCTAAGAAAAAACAAAGGAAACTGCTAGCCCTAAACAAGCTTTCCTTTCCAAAGTGAATGGGCAGCAGGTGGAGAGCTACTGCTTCTCTTCTCCTCAACCACATAACCACAAAAGCTTTTAAATTTCTTTCACCTAATCTTCCCAGACCTATTTATCACTCACACCCTTTAACCCAAACTGTTTGTGGCTTCAAATTCAGGTCATTTTCTGCAATCCCTTCTCGGGTTCCGGTTTACAGTAATGAAATTGAATCTGGGTCTCGTGATTTGGCTATTAATTATGATCTGGGACCTAAAGAAGATGAAGAATCTGGAAAGATCCCTGTTAAAGCATACTTCCTTTGTACCAGGTCTGCCACTTCAATTTTTTTTTTTGGCTTTTCTATTCCTTAATGGGTTTAAAAAAAATTTTGGCTTTTCTATTCCTTAATGGGTTTCGTTTGTTCTGTGTTTGTAGAAACGTGTATTTTTGCTGAAGGGTTTTATGCGTATTTAATTAATTGTTTTTTGGGTGGTTTTCTATTGACTCAAATTGGTGGGTTATTGTGTTTGCATGCAAAATTTGAGCATCTTCTTTTGAAGGATTTTCTTTTCTCCTGCTGAGTGACCTTTTTGACGCTAGCAACATGTTGTCGAGATAGAAACAGTGTCTGTTGTATTGGCTGTTTGCTCATTAAAAAGTTGACGATTTTAATTATTTACGTTTACTTTTGCTGGCATTTATTCTTTTAATGCAAGAGTCTTTCTTCGGTTCGTTACGTGCTGTCTTCTCCATGCTCTGTGTTTTCCTTTTTCTACCTTTGTAGTTCTGTTTTTTTCCCCTTGATGGTTTGGTTTTATCAGATTCATGGTTTTGGCAGTATTAATTTGAAGAGCATGCAAGCAGAGAATTTAAGCTATGTTGTTCCTCCTACCTCTCGCTCAACGAATTATGTTGTCCTCAAATTTTTCGATTTCTCTTCAGATATTAGTGTAAGATGATTGAAAACAATTTCATTTTTTTTCTGTGACATTTTCCTACTTTGTTTGTGATTTTTTGAGCTTCGTAATTGTTCTAAACATCCTACCTCCTTGCGCATATGGATAAAATTCGTGGGGATCATGCATACTTAAGATCAGATCCTGATTCCAGCAAAAAAAAACTTTCATTTTTGTAGTTTTCAAGGTGATTGGTTTGACTGTCATCTTATAACATGTGACTTTTAATTCAGGCACTTGGAATAAGAGAGTATATCAGCTGCCGCTACATGGTTGTATTCCAATATGGATCTGCTGTTCTATTTAATATTGAGGATCCTGAAGTTGAAAGGTACCTGGAAATGGTAAGGAGGCATACTTCTGGATTGCTCTCCGAGATGAGGAAAGATGGTATATTTCTTTGAGAAGATCCTATATCTTGTTTTATTCGAACAGGGGTTCATTTGTCTTGTCTTGTCTTGTCTTGTAGATATATTTAACATCTTGTGATTTTGAGCAAACGTTATTTTTTTGTGCTTTAATGATTGAGATGAGGATTGCATTTAGGACAGTTACCATAATCTATATAACCAATGCCAACTTGTTTTGGGCTGGGGTTGGTTGAGTTGAGTTGAACTCTCATGGTTTTATTTTTCTCTCAGTTTTTCCAAATTTGAGTCGGCTCCATAATTTGTTCTTTAACCACTTGAACTTGATAAGTTTTGAATACATGAATGATATTCTTGTTTTGACCTTGATTTCGTCTTTTATTAGATTATGCCATAAAAGAGAAACCACTTCTGGATGAGGATATGCAGGGAGGCCTCGATTACATTGTCCTCAAAACTTTAGACACTGACAGTATTCGCATTATTGGAAGTGTGCTTGGGCAAAGTATTGCTTTGGACTATTTTGTTTCACAGGTAATGTCATGTTCAAATACTTTTTTAATGGTGCAATATTGAAACCTATGTTTGAGAAGAAGGCATTAAATTGTCATTGAATCATAATACACTTCGGCAGATATCAAATATTGAAGCTTTAATCATTTTGATGTCAGGATTCAACTTCTGTCACATTTTTATTTATTATCGAAAAATGGCTAGCACAATATGAAACAGAGGATGCCATTTTTTTGGAAGTTTAAATAGTGAACTGTTAATCTCCTCTCTCTCTCTAAGGTTGATGGAATGGTTGAAGAGTTTGCTGGCATAAATCGTGCAATGGAGAAAACTGGAACTTTCTCAATGGATAGGAAAAAGCTCCTTCAACTTGTTGGGAAGGCTAATTCAAATCTAGCTGATGTGATTCTTAAAGTTGGTCTTTTTGAGAGGTAATCCATTTTTACTGTTGCTTGTTTAATTTCTCTTTGCATATGATAGATTCACATGGTCTCTTTAACGTATTCTACGATCGAATTTCCATGTTAGATGTAAAACCGTGTGCTTTTAGGAAATTTCAGTAAGATCATATCGTTAAGCATGCAGTGAAGAACCTTTTAGGTCTTAATGACATTTCTCTACCTTTGTCAGTCTATAAGAAGCTCATGGCAATAAGCCAACTGATTGAAGCATGAAAAACTTAACGAGCAGGAAACATTTTAAAAAATGAATCTTCTTATTCTTGGGTAGGGTTGTCGCAAATTTGTGGAAATGCACCCTGCATCTGAATAAATCTGCTTATCTTAGAGGATTTCTGCATGGGATCCATTGGGTGTTGCTTCAGACAATGATGATTCCATGGAGCATATAAACTATCGATGTTCTTTAGTTCTGTTCCATAAGTTGGCCTTGACTTCTTTCCTTGTCAGACTAGTCTGGTATTATGAGAGAGATTGTGCACATGCTTCAGCCTTGCTTGATTCCATGGAGCATATAAACTATTGATGTTCTTTAGTTCTGTTCAATAAGTTGGCCTTAACTTCCTTGGCAAACTAGTCTGTTATTATGAGAGTGATTGGGTGTTTGATTCAGCCTTGTTAGATATTTAAGTTCCTCACAGAATCTCATTTTAGCTTATTAAAAGTGTAGGCTCCTTTTTCTAAGAAGAAATGTTAAGGTAAGCCTCACTTAGAAAGAAAGCAATTACAGGTCAACAAGAATGAAATTGTAAAATTGAAAAGTTCAATATATGCTGTAATCTTTCAATGTGCATTTTGCAGCCTTAACCAACTCTATTTTTTCACCGTCCAGATCTGAAATTGCTTGGAGGGATGCAAAATATGCTCAAATATATGAGTACCTCAGGGAGGAGTATGAAGTTACTCAACGCTTTGGAAATTTGGATTTCAAATTAAAATTTGTAGAGGTATGTGTCTGCCTTTGTTGGACCTACAACTGAATATAATGGCTTTTGGTTATTACTGAATTTTACAGTTACTTGTATGGTTATTGTAGTGATAATGTTCATAGAGATTTAGGCTTGAAAGAGCTGATTATCTGTGGTCCTCGCTGGAGGAAGCACTTGCATGAATTAGAGGATGCTTGAAATATTTCAAAAATGTAGAAATTTAAACAAGCAGACATCATTAGAGAGAGTGGACAGTTGATTGATTTGTAGTGTGTTTTAGGACTTTTTCAGGTTTCGTCCAAAATATTAGAGTTCGACTGGAAGTAGTAGATCAGAGACTTCATTTTCAATTGCTCGATAATCTCCATGAGCACAACTCCCACATTTCACTTTTCAGAATCTGTTGTGATATTTATTGTGATATATTTATCTGGAGCTGCTCTCTCACCCTTTTCTCTCCTCTTGCAGCACAACATTCATTTCCTTCAAGAAGTTATCCAAACCAGACGATCTGATCTTTTGGAATGGTGCATTATACTCCTGCTGAGCATAGAGAATATTATATCAATATATGAGATAGTTCAAGGATGAAGTGCAGATACATCACTGATTTGATAGACCCTAGGCATACAAGAAAAGTTCGGATCACCAGATGGAGTGACAAGTTAACAATTCAATCTTTTATAGACAAGATCAATTCTTCAATATTTTTCTGTGATCCATGATATTATTTTTGCAGTATAGCATGAGAATTCCTGGTGTCCATTTTGCACGATCACTTTTACCAATAGAAAATTCCGAAGCCAAAGGCAACCTTTTCAACTGTTGGCATGTCTCTGTGTTAACAGTTATGTGCATAACATGTTTGAATGCTTAGTGTTTCCCTTTCCAAGATGAAAGGTCAATACAGAAGCAGGTTCGTTGTATCGAAAGTTCAGCATTGTATTTTTATGATTGCAGCAGGTGGCAATGCTTCGCATGGAACTTCAGACCACGAATGGAGGCCGGTTGTGCATGTATAAGTCCACACCAACCGTCCTGATATCCTCAAAAGCAAATGTCTGCCTTTTGCTATGACAGCACTGCTTTTCTGCCATGTTGAAACTGTTTCATTTTTATTTTTTTTGACACCAGCTCTGAGAATGTATTCAATGATGAATTGTGGAATATCTGTTTTCTTTTTGTGGATTGTATATGTCAACTGAAACGACGTGGTGACATTTGTTAGTAGTTTTGACAAGTTGCCAGCACGATAGAATCTCAATTTGTCCGTGGAGAAGCAGGACGTTGTTTCTTTTGCGGTTTCCATACATGGATGGCTCTCAACGATCCTCCTCTCACCAAATACACGAACGCAAAAACGCTGATAATGGTGAGTGCAAAACCTCAAACTCATTGAATTGCGTAATATAGAGGCAATTGGATTTCGAGAATTACATCCATAGCAAGAGATTTTTCTATTGTGACTACAAAGCACGCTATTCTTAATGTGCTAAAAAATTACTAAAAGACGAACATTAACCATTGATGAAGATGATAACATTCCATATCCCCGGTTCAAAATTCCTCTACCCTGATAGCAGTCTGTGGCACATCATAAGCAATTTTAGGCCTAGACTTCTTGACACCAGCTGTAAACCACACCTTATCAGACTTGAAGCCCTCCACTGCTACGCTTGTAACCTTAACCCATACTAGCACCTTTGTCTTCATTCCCTCTATAACCGTGAGCTTTCCCCTCACAAGTATTGCCTTTACTCGAGTTGCATACCTCATTACAGAAGAGTCACTGAAGCTGATCTCACATACAGAAGGTAAGTACACAATCAGCTTGGCCTTTGTTTCATCGAATTCATAACAGGTTATATTCCGGGGGAAGAGACCTGGTGGCAAGTTGTATTCTCGGAGGAGATCAGGCAAGCTTTTAAGTGGCTTTCCTAAAAAAAGAAGCAGCATGCATGTAAGCATCTGGTATAACGGACATGGCTTCAAAAATGAAAGAATCTTTCAAAAAGTGTTGTCTTTGTTAACAAACCCAAATTAATTAATCTCAAGTAAATTGAAGAAATGAAGCCCTGAATTACTTTTAAATAGTTTCAGAAGCCCAATTCTAGGATCAAAATGGAAATATCCATAGGAATAACACATTAAAGATGAGAAAGAGGTGGCAAAACATTCACTAAAGTGTGTGATGTGTACAGCAATTTATTACAAAAGCAACGGGTCAAAAGAATTCGAACAGGGAAAACAATATGGGCATCAGAATGAGGAAAATGTATCATTCTTGACCCAATCTCTTGGTTATTTATAAAACTTTCTTTGAAAAAGCAAAACAACAATCACCAAATTGAGCCAGTGGCATACAAATGATGAAAGATTCCGCCTTCAGAACATTATTACAGAGTTCCAATCTACATATGACAGCATGTTATCATCTCAATTGCACGCAACAGTAGTGCAGATAAATGAATGCAATACCTTGTATGTAATGAAATCACGGATGAGGAAGAAAACGAATATCAAAGACGTTGAAAGAAAAATCCAGTGGCATATTAAACATCATTGTTGCACAAATACAGACATGGTGCATAATCAATCATTTCCTTAGATAACAAAAGTAGATAACACATAATCTCTACCTTTCAGCTTGTTGAAAACCCATTTTGCCTTCTCTTCAACAGTAGTTGAGAAAGTCTGCAACCACAAGCAAGCGCGAATTTACTCTACGTACAAAACATAGTTCACAGCAAAGAAAAATTACCCTATATGTAAAAGAAACTTCAATTGACAAGACAAGAGTTATATGTGAAATCCTAAAATTCCTTTCTAACAGGTAAGTTTCAACTTCCATTGATTCAAACACAATAATTTCAAACAAGAAACTCAAACTGTGTCTCCTTCAATTCATATCTTCTCCTTTTCTTTTCTTCAAGTAAATCCCAGAAAAAAGAAACTTAAAACGTAATATTTTAAGTTTTTGAAACCCTGGGATCCAATACAAAGTAAAAAAAAAAATATATCATTTCCATTCACACACAATGTTCCCACCACGGCACAATCGTTTACTAATTGAAAAACCCATCTCCGAATGGACTCCTATTTCCATGAAAATCAACAGATCCATTTAAAATTAGCACAAATCATAACATGGGCATCCTCCGATCAACCCACATTACGCCAAAATCACCCAAAACAGAAGGCATACTGAATAAGGGTATGGACAAGGCAAGACAAGACAGGAAGAGACAGGAACCATCATTAAACAAACATAAAGTAAAAGAAGAAGAAGAAGAATAGACTACAGAGTACAGCCATAATTACATTGAGGTCTTCAGTAATGTTAGAGAACTCTTCTTTTGCTTTCTTTGAGATCCATAGGCTCCCAACTTTCAAGCTATTCACTTTTGTTAATGCTTTCTCCATTGCCCTTCTCTCCTTCCCTCCCTCCCTCCCTCCCTCCCTCTCTCTCTCTCTCTCTCTCTACTAAGTAGAAGAATTTTCTTTTCGTATCCTCTCTATTACTCAGCACTCACTCTCCCTGTTGTTGAGACTTGAGAATTGTGTGTGAGAGGGAGAGGGAGGGGCGTGAGAAACTGGAAATAGCAAAAAGGAAAGGAGAGGGATCTCTTTTCTGGCTAAAATCTGAAAGCAAAGGGACAGACCAAAAAGAAAATAAAGGCAGCTTCACCGTTGAAAAAAAGCGGCGCCTCACAGTTCTCGAGGCACCTTGTTTTCAATTTTAATTGAGGGTGTTTCTGTAAATTTGAGGAAAGGGGTGAGGTTCTGCTTCCCTGTTTTTCTGTTTTTTTTTTTTTTTGTTATGTGCGTGCTTGTGTGTTTGCATGGATACGAACATATCAAATTAAATATCTTTCAAGCTCCACAAGCTATTATTTTTAGTTAGATTTTTCAAAGATAGATTTCCTAACGCTAAAACTCAGATGTAGATTTTGAAGTCATTTACAGGAGGCATCAAAACTTGTCAGTGTGTAATTTCGAATTCAATTGCAGCATTTGCCACCCAGTTTCGCATTGGATTTCAAAGCGTACAGTTCATAATTTACAACGACAGATACAGCATGCCAGAAAATACATAGAAGTTGCAATTGAATCTTTCTTCCATGCAAAGTCAGGCAAAATGTTTGAAAGCAAAAGATCAGCCAATTTTGGTATGGTTCTAAAACAAAGCTGACAATAAAAGGAAGAATCACTGAATTTGCCATACAGAGCGCGGTAAAATGCAGATAACAAGGGCCCTAATACTATGAAGGAAACTGTCTACTAAACTGCTATAAATGACGTAGATTGATACGCTGCAGCAAATACTGATGAAAAGCCTTCAAATTTTTATCTCTCATCGGTTGCTTCATGTCCACGCATCTGTTTATACCAGACAATTTAAAAAAGCAATGGAACATGGTGGGCCTAAACCCACGATTTTTCCAGCTCGTAAGTCGACAATGACTACCTTCTTTTCGGCAAAATCATTCCAATGAGAGATGATGCCATGCAGCTTACCTCTTGCGGGGTCACCAGGCAGACTGCTTCATCAGTGGCAGTGTCCTTGCTGTTTAAGAGCTAGCGAAGAAAACTTATAGCTACGAAAGATGGACACTAACATATAGCAAAATATTAGAAATTTATAATTATCCAAAGCTGTCTGCAAATGAAATCTTGAAAAGGAAGAAGCATACATGACCTGGCATTAGTCCAGCCTTCTCAACAAATATTCAACCTGAACTTTTTTCGTTAGAGGCATAATCCAATCCTCGTGCAGATTGACAACTAAATTTGGCTTCACTTTATATATGGGATCAATTGCTTCGTCCTACCGGTGACACTTACCTCTTGACCATATTTTCTTTTTTTTTATCTTTACTCGCTTCTTTACGGCTGCTTCCACAGCTTCATATGTGAGCAACTTCGGGAGCCCAGCCCGATCCCGCAAGAATCACAACCACTAGGAAAGGATGACAATGTGAGAAGTTGATCTCCACGCCAAAAATATAGTCAGACCAAAGATACAAAAAGAAAAAAAAAATCGTATCAGTAAATCAACTTTACCTGCACTTTGATGGGAGCCTAGTGATCAACAGGGATCCCTGAAATTTAGCCTCTACAACAAATTTTCCATGGTGAATTCTTCATTACAGAGCCCGCAAAAAGAGTCAAGTAGTAGAAACAAATACAAGATTATAGACTGACCTGTCTTGCAGAAGTTATCCAGTTTTAATTTACTAGTAAATTGTAGAGCATCCACATAGTACAAAACTGTCAGTTCAAATACTTAATGTTACTTGGCTCAGCAGGCAATTAGAGAAGTTTAGAAAACCATGGGGAAGTTTCACTAAGGCATACCATACCAATCCTCAGTTCAGAGGCAAGACCCACACTTGTAGGATTCCACAGTAAATTTTCATTCTCGATCACCACACACACAAGAAGGAAATATAATCTTCATGATCATCAATGAAATGTCTATTCCTCTATAAGAAAGGAAATAAAGGAAAGAGTGCAGTGAATCTCTTAAGCATCCATAAGGGTCTGCTTGGCACATTCAAGGCAGTGAAGAGGACGATTTTCAACCTCCACAAAACTGGATAGTTCTTATGGAGAGCATCTTGACACCATTAAATGTCATCATAATGGGCTTGCCTCATGGCGTACAAATCAACCAAGAGGCTACTTTCAATATAGTAAAAGGATCAATTCAACGGCATACCTGCAAGCAGACACTGTCACAAACCAACCAGAGGCTACCTGCAATATAGTAAAAGGATCAATTCAATGGCATACCTGCAAGCAGACACTGTCACAAACCACAGTTGCCGTCATCCCCAGCTTTCACCAACCTAGGAAGAAGATCCTTGAAGTACATATTCCATAACTTTTTATTTATATTGATTGACTCAGCACATGGATGCAGAACCTAATATCACATAAGTAAAGAGGCCATATCAGTCAGCAGAGAAGTCACTCAGCACAAAAGTCCTATTTTAGAAAGAGTTTCAACTTTCAACTCATTCATTCTAGAAGTAGAAGGCACGAGCAAGTGTCACTTGAAATTTACGTTGTTTGGTAATTGCGTTACCAAACATGGATGTAGTAGATCAAGTCCTTATCGATTAAAAGAAAGTTTAGAGAGAGATAAAATTGCCGAGCAAGCGTTAGTATTGCTTCGCAAAGCAATTGATTTTTGGTGCCTATGATGCCAAGTATTGTAGCTATCCCAAGAGATGGGGTTTTAAGGCTATGTTGAGTTCAGAATGAATTTGTTGACGATGGCCAAACTTATCTAAATTGTCTAAAGAAAAGGTTTACTCATCTCAAAAGGTAAGCACAAGGATATAAATTTATTCTCTCTGAAATTGTAAATCGGTCATCATCATTCATCATAAATTAGGGCCATCACAGCATATAAATAGAGAATATTTCTCACCGTTGGTTACTGCAAAGGTCGTAGTACCGGGTCAGGTGAAGTTTCCGGAAAGAAGGGGTGCCATCCGGACTTTGATATCGCCCAACCTAATTTAAAAGGAGAGATCTTAAAATTTGTGAAATCATGATTGCTTCAGAGTAGTTGCTTTATTTTCTCTTAAAAAAGGCACCTTAGCATGGAGCCTTTCTGTTTCTTTTACAAAGATAACTGTGAACAGAAAGCTTCTGGTTTATGACCGAAACAAGTTCTGTAAGACTCTTACAGAAGTCTTGACCAACACATAAACTAGAAATACACATACACACAGAGTGAAAATGTCTATGAATTGCAATTATACAAAATTTAACAATTCAACAAAAAGATGACACAAGAATAGATTATTCCGAAATATCCTTACAAAATGCATCCTAATGTTCTAGGATTTAGCATCGAAGTATCCTTACTAGGTTCAGTAGTGATCAAATCTTAACTTTGAAACCACCCAGGCTGCTCGAATCAGCGCCTGCTTTCTTTCTCTATTCTCTCCAGGTCTTCAATGTGTATAAGCAGCTTAAAGCTGCTCGAGTCACTCACAAATAGTATAGCTTGCCTGCCTTTCAGTCCGAAGTAAAGGCGGTGCAGATGAACTAATCTGCCCAACGGTCGCCCATAAACTTCTTTATCTTGCCCTTTGGAGCAAAGGCACATCAATAATAGCAACATCCTTGATATGCCAAAACATACTATTTGTCATCTTGATTCATAATTACACCAAGCATCATACCACCTTTTTTATATACATTTATGGTTCGGATTGAATGTCCTCAAGTTTGGTCCTGAGTCATGACATGAATATTTAAAGTTCAAGCATGAAACATAATCTCTACTGAGCATCCATATTTACTTTTACAAGAAATGCCAGTCATATTTTGAATGGTAACCAAATCTGTAAATTATGGTCATCAAGCTCTCTGATCTACGTAACATCTTTATTGAATTTTGAACTTTTATCAACAGAAAAGGTATTTGATTGTTTGTTTCTCTTCTCTTGGAATTTTGGCGTTATCTTCTATCTTTCCTTCCTTTGTTTTCTTTTTAGATGCAAATGGATTTCAAACATGTTCATATCTGGTTCATAAGGTTTAAAATTCAAATTGATGTTATTGCTGCGATAATGAACTACGACCTGAGACCGCTACTTAAAAACATCAAATCGTGCAAACCCTAAGCAAATTACAGAAAATGTAAAAGAAAAAAAAGAGAGAGAAAAAGAAAAATACGACTCACTCACACATATACATAGAAATCAACAAGATACACTTTCCAAACTTCAAAGAAACCAAGAAGCACCCTAATTAGATTAACCCCAGACAAAACCCATGAATCAAAGAAACTAACGTGCATTGAGAATTGCAGAGAACAGAGTCTTGAAGAGGAACAAAGAGTCAGAAAGCACAAAAAGCCACGTCATTTGAACAAAATATCACGAAGGTTTGTAAGTAATAAACATCTTAACACATACAGAACTAAACCAAACACCAATATAAAGAATATTCATGCACAACATGCCACAAATCTTGCCCAGTTCATACATCAGCAGCATTTGTACAATTAAATGTGTACAAAACACATCAGCAAAGAATTTAATTACTTTAGAAAATGACGACAAAGAATAAAATATATTGACTGGTTGGCATAGCCTTGCTGAAACCTAGTCTTTAAAAATGGACATGATAGGTTGAGCAGTAATAAAATGTTCAACTTTATAAACCAGCCAAACTGCCTGAACCAGTTTTTGCTGTTTGTATACTAACTTTCTGAGTGTTTAAAAGAAACCTAATATGCTGAAGGAATGAATGTGTTTAGAAAGCATTTTTATCTTCAGAATAACAGAAGGAAAAATGAAACCATCGCCAAATTTCAAAGAGACGAGAAATATATAATCAACACTACTTTTTATATTATGTTTAAAAAAATTCACAAGAGGTGTCATGAAAGAGTTCGATGGCCTTCACAGATTCCATAACCATTCATAACATTACTGGAATATCTTGTTATAGTAACTTTGTATAGTATACTGGACAGCCATTCTTGTTTGATTATTTCATCACCAGAAGTTCTATATATGTTGCACCTTGACATTAAGAGGACAGGCTAGAAATATCAACATCGTGAAACAACAAACACGCATGGCCTCGTATCAGTCAAGCCTTCTCAACAAGTATTCAACCTCAACTTCTTTTGTCAAGGGCATAATCCAATCCTCGTAAAGTTGGGCAACTAAATGTGGCTCTACTTTATATATGGGATCGGCTGCGTCTTCCTGCTGGGTGATTCTTCCCTCTTGGCCATATTTTCTTGTTTTCATTTCTACTCTCTTCTTAACAGCTGCTTCCACAGTTTCATACGTCAACAATTTCATGAGTCTAGCCCGATCCTACAATAACCACAATGCATAAGGACAGGATGATAACGTGAGAAGTTCATCTTCATATCAACGAATCACAGGGTGCATCCAGAGGAATAAATCAGGACACAAGTATATATGCAGCTTTACCTGCACTTTGATTGCAGCCTCGTATTCAGCAGTGGATTCCTGAAATTTAGCCTCGGCCACAAATTTTCCATAGTGAATTCTCCGTGACAGAGCCTGCATTAAGTGTCCAATATACAGTAGAAACAAATATTAGATTTCACACCTATACTTTCTTGCAGAAACCACCCGGTTGTTATCTACTAGCAAATAGTTGAGTATAAATCCACATGGCACATAGCAGAAAAGCACCAATGCAAGCACTTGCATGTTGCTTGGCTCAGCCACAGAAGTTTAGCAAATCATGGTCAAGGTTCGTTATAGCACGTCGTGCCAATCCTCAGTTCAGAGCCAAGAATCCAGACTTGATGGATTCTACAAGGGATTTTGAATGCTTGGTCGCCAAAAAGAGAAGGGAAACCAAAACTTCCTGCTCTTTTCATGAATGATTTTTTCAATTCCTCCGTAAAAAAATAAAAGAAAAGAAACAGTGCAGTTATCTCTCGAGCATTCATAAGGGTCAGCTAGGTACACTCGTGGCAGTGAAGGGGATCATTTACAGAGATCCAATGGATAGCATCTTAACACCATTGAATAGTATGATAGTACCATTCAATTAGGAGCTATCTGTAATGAAGTAAGAGTATCAGTCCCAATGGCACACCTGCAAGCAAACTGTGTCGCAAACAGCAGCAGATCCACAATTGTCATCATCTCCAGCTTTGGCCAATTTTGGAAGAAGATCCGTAAAATACATATTCCATACCTTTTTGTTGATATTAATTGAGTAAGCACAAGGATGCAAAACCTAATGTCACATCAGTAGGCATCCCAAATCAGTCGATATAGAAGTAACTCAGCATCCTATTTTAGAAAGAAATTGCAACTGACTGAATTCAACTAGACAAAACTAGAAGCCACAGGCAATTGTCACTTGAGATACAGTAGATTCTATTAAAGAAAGTTGTGAGGAAAAGATAAAATGTGCCGATCAAGCCTATCCCAGGGATAATCCAGGTTTACGCATAAAGCATCAACATTAAATTTAAAACGGTGAATGTCAATCAGTCATGTCAGAAATTTGAAGCTATAATTCTCATATCAGCTGCATAATCCTAGTTTCAAGATGAAGCATTATAATACATTACCGTGTCAGGTAATCTGTTAAGAAAGTGCATATATTATGACAACACTAAATTAATAATTGGATAATTTCAATACTATGCAGAAAACAGTTTCAGAGCAAAATTTTACCTTTGGCAGCCAAAGTAATCTGTACTTCTCATTTCTCTTGAAATGCCTAATGGGTTTAACTTGCAAGTTTTGCAGCTGATCCTAATTCCACTTGGAAATGATGGTGAAATCAGCAGGGGGGCCAAATTGAGGGAATTTGTGTCAAACAACCAACTTTCATCCTACAAATTTGAATCCCAAAGTGCCAATGATGACAAATATAGCTAAAGTTATTGGTTCTAAGGCTACGTTGAGTTGTTTAATAAATTAGCAGACAGATGGTAAAATTTATCATAACAGACTAAATAAAAGGTTATTCAATCTCACAGGTCATTAGTAAGCACAAGCACATAAATCTATTAATTCTGAAGTTGTAAAACTTCACCATCAGCATAAATTAGGCTTATAAGACCTAAACCGGAGGTCAACCTGGCCTGAGATTTGGATCGCTGGTCGGCGATTGACAAACCTTCAACTATTTTTTTCCCGAAAAAGAGCTGGGAACAATGTTATTTTGGTAAAAACAGGTTTTTTTCACGGAACTAGCCCCGACCAGGCCTCACATTGACAAGTCACTAGTTAACCCGCTAGGACACGTCTTATAACTAAGGTTATAACCTCACAACAAGGATCAGTGCAAAAAATTTAAGCAACAGAATATTTCTCACCTTTGGATACTGCGACGGAAGCAGCATTGAGTGAGGTAAATTTTCTGGGAAGAACGGGTGCTCATCTGGACTTCTATACCGCCCCGCCTAATGTAAGAGGAGAGACATATAAAATCTGAGGATTCATGATTCCTATAGTATTTTCTCTTATAAATATACCTGAGCATGGAGCCTTTCTGTTTCTTTTACAATGAACTTGACCAAAGACCCATGGAAACTTCCGATACATAGAGCACCATCGTTATAAGTGTTTGCATTGTAAGCATATTGCGCTCTGAGCAAAAGGTTGAAAATTATACTGTCTTCTTGCAAAATTAATGACTTCCTTATCGCATCCAGAGTCAAGGTCTGGCTGCTGTCCACCCTTTCTTTAGCATATCTACATGACAAGGAAATAGTAACAACAGTTTAAAATCAAATATTCCAGAACTGGAGCGTTCTTGGCTTTCTAACAAATTAATCATGTTAAACTCAATTTTATGTGATTTCTCTGCAACTAATCAATTATTTAGTAAAATACCACAATACTTGAGCATCCAAGGAAGTCAAGAAATAGCAAACTAGCATAATCACAAAGCCGATCCCAATGAGTATCAGCGGTCCCATATCTTCATATTCTAGGCCATCACATATCATTGCTTCGCTGCAATGTCCGTTGTCCTCAATAAGGATATGCTCCAGCAGTCCGCAAACAGATTTTTAAGGAACGACGAAGCTTTTTCTTGAGACGCTCATAACTCTTTGAAGCTAATTAAGTCATGAATAGATTGTAACCTCTAGAAGATCCTTCTCCAAGTAGTTAACTTAAAAGTAAAAACAATGTGAAAGAATGCTTTGACTTTGAACAGACATCATCTTTTACTGCTGTAAAAACAGATGGGCATTGTGTTACCAGCATCCATAGCAAGAAATCTACAACGTTAAATATGTATACATGAAGCATTTATATTTTGCTGGTTACCTTGTGCGAAAAGATGAAGAGGCATGAAGAGGATGATGCCCATTAGCTCCAGATTTTGACTGGAGAATAAATTTGAGGGTGTTTGGTTGATGATGGGCGAGATACGAATGAGGTGGTAGAGAACTTGGGGTCTTGAGGCTTGAAAAAGCAACATTTAGTAGCTTGCACTCCATTGATGACGAATGAGGAGAGACCAGTTAAAGATTAGCAAGATGTTTGAGAGTGCTAACTCAATGTTCAAGAGTTTCTCACCTTAAAGGAGAATAGACAACAAATAAATACTGAAAAAACAGACAAGAAAGGGAGAAATGTAATTGCGAAAAGCAAAAGAGAAACAAGTTGTTTGCGTTACACAAAAGGAAGCTTCGCAAAGAAAGGGAAATGAAAAGGCATCTTGAAAATGTAAACAAGAGGTTTTAAGACGTAAAAACGCGTAATTTTTTGGCAATCTATAAACCAGAAGAGATGGTTCCTGGCCGCTTTTTGCTAGGCACAATTTCGTTGTTTTGAAGCATAAGATACTCGAAATTCTCTGGATAATTTTAATTGGATGGAAAAGTTCCTTTTAATGCATATGATACTTCCAAAAGAACGCAAAACCATATGAAAATGGATTTTGAGCTGTATCAAATATATATTATTAGCAATGAAATATACAATTGCAAAAATAACCATGGATGAACATGCATGCTTCTGGTTTACATTCAAAGCAAGTGCACAAACCCTGACCACCACTCGAATTGAAAATACACTAGTTACAAACCCTCGAATTGCTTCGAGGATTGGTCACTAATCGAGTGAATTTCTATCTTTTAAATTATGAATATATATATATATAGTCTAATTTCTCATATATATAGCGTAAACTTTTTTATAAGAGGAAATAATTTAACAGAGAAAAGAGATTGCTCACTAGACCAATTATTATTTATATAGTGGGGGGAAAAAACAAAAGTTGCAATTATTAATGTTCAATAGTTTGTATTGCATTCTCCAAAAAAAGAAAAAGAAAAGGAAACTTTATACAAATTGAAACAAGTTTATTATATAATGTTCAATAGTTTGTATTGCATTCTCCATCAATTATTAATTTAAGAAGTTTGTCTCTTTATAATAGATCCTTGAAAAAGAAAAAGGAAAAGAAAAAAGAAAAAAGAAAAAGGAGCAGATCTTCTGGTATCATATAAATCATTATATATGATCGCCTGCATACAACTTTACACTAAAAAAAAATATTTAAACAAAAAACGGAGTTTGTAGCTAAATCTTTATTATATTGAAAAATTAAATTTGAAACCAAGTTTTTCTGCAATTTTCACCGTGTCTTTTTTCATTTATTATGAATATTATTAAGAAAAAAACTCATGCTTAATCTTCAAATAAGTTTCTTATTATATTTTTTAAAAATAAAAAATTGTTAGCTCTATACATAATGTTATTTTTAATCACGTCTGGATGTTGATTTTTTATTTTTTAACATTGCACGGATATTTTAAAAATATTTAAGAACAGAAGTTCTTCACAAAATCTTCATAGAATCATGCAAATTTGCAACTAGAAATATCATATGTTTTATAACGTGTCTTCTATATATAAGAATTATAAAAGGCATATACAATAAAATTATTCATAAAATTTTAATAAATAATCAACATGCCAATCATATTTTTTTCATTAATAAACCGTCTGTCAAGCAACCACGGCTCCAAATCCTGTCATACTATAATGTCAATTGTCAATCATACAGAAAACACTCAATAATCTTCATTGTATGCAATAATGCAATAGATGTAATATATATATATATATCTGTGTTTGTGAGAGAGAGAGAATAAATTACATTTATACAGAACGATCCACCAGCTCAACAAGAAGAAGACATAAGAGTATAATACATTAACATCTATATCCATATTAGGTGCTGTAGTAGTTGTAAAAGGGAGTAAAATGTATAGCTTTAGAACAGTGCCTGCTTCTCTTTTCTTTTTCTTTTTCTTTTTTTTTTAATTATTTGTAGTTGTTTAACGCTAATGTGTGCTTTTCGTTGCTGGTTGACTCGCTAACTAATGGAGAAATAATAGTTTATCTGGATCCCTTTTGTCCAACGGAAAGGTTGCGTAAAGGATTCACGTGCCAAGGTGTCCATAAACGTCCTCTCTCTCTCGTACAGAAAAGTAAAATGAGGGCCCTGTTAACTCAAATTCGCACGATTCATTTATGATCGAAGCTTACGTGAAAGATGAAAAGGAGGAGGCTTGAAGAAAGAGGGACCTCGGAGAAGTTAGAGGGTTATTTGGTGATGATTGACACCCACGAAAAATCTTCAAAACCCAGTTCATATTTGGTTTGACATCACTAAATGAAAAGGGGGTTTTGGAGATATTTCAGATGGGGAGCTAAAATGGGAGCAAATGCATATCTTAATTTATTTATTTTTCCAATTCATAATAAATTCTTTTACAAAGGATGAATTAATGAGATCCAATCTGAAGTTTTTGTGATGTAAGAAATTGTTGAACTTGCAATCTTTTCTTCAGAAAAAAATGTGGTTGTCGTGTACGTAGTTGTGTTCTCACATATTGAATTCATAGTTTAGTTCAATAAAATATAATGTCTTAATTGTGAGATTTAAGAATAAACGAATGTTTCTCTACATTATTTTTGTTTTCACTATATATGTATGCAGCCGAGGATTTAATTGTTCATGGCAGTAACCTTTGGTGATCATGTAAGGGGAACCAACCCACTTATCGATGGGCTAATCCTCCAAGATTTGTACTTGTATTATTATCAGTGGGATAAACGTGCAAAAGTTTTGCTTTTGTTGTTAGATTAGAACTCATTAATCTCTTAAAAGCAGATTTACTTGCTTCTTTAGCTTTTTATATTTGAATTTTGAGATGGTATTTCTTAAATACACCAAATTAATTTAGAATTTATCTTTAAATCTTAATTTGAGATTAAAAAAATAGTCTTAATTTATACATAAACGACATTCAATAACGACCAATGCTTACCGCTGCACTAATTTTGGTAATATAAAAAGGAAATAATTTGGTTCGATTTGAAAGACAAAACTAAAATTAATTTTACAAGAGAAAATCATCTAATAAGATATTAACCCTTCACTTAATTTAAGGAATATAGCATCATATTAGCACTAATTTGGAGAGAGCTCATTCCATAAGGATTGACATCGTGTTCCAGTAAATTAGAATTTATTGACAATTAACTTGTATTTAAAAGAATTTAATTGGAAATTTTTGTGTATGTGAAGTCGTTATGAATGCTCATAATTAAGAAGGTCATAAAATGAAATTGTGTCTGTGTGTGTATGAAGTCATTATGAATGGTCATAATTAAGAAGGTCATAAAATGAAATAAAAAATAAATTAAATATAATTACAATTTTATAGTCCATAATGTTATATATCCATAAAATAATATATTATCTGTACGATTGATTTTTCTGTAATCCAAAGGATCCGCTATTTCTGGAGAAAGAAAGTACCACGCAAGGAAAAGAAAATCATTTCCGGCTATATATATATATATATATATATCAAAGCTTTTATTCTAAAAGCCTCGGTGCACACCATACATATCCAGAATATGGTCACTAGCTAGCCCCCCTCTTTTTCCATGAACTCTTTGGCCTTCTTATAAGCTTCCTTCAGATAGTCCCTAAACCGAATCAAATCTATTTTTACATTTTGTTCCTTCAAATATATGTCCATTATTGCACTCGACCAATTTTGTCCTCGGAAAGTCGCCGGATCCTTTATCAGTAAGCTATTCTTACCGTACTTGTCTGTCAAACTACTCTCCTCCGCTCCAATCCGGTACTCCGAGTACTCCAATCCCATAGCCCTGGCTGAATTTGCGAAGCACACCTCTGCCAGCCATTCAGCTCCTATAGGCACCACTTGCATGAATACCACGCCCGGCCGAAGAAACAATGAATGCGTAAGTCCGGCACCGTGTACCCCAACCATTGCATGACTTGAGTTTATCAGTGCGTAAGCTTGTTGCAACGGGGTTTGAGGTGTAGGCTCAAAGATAATCACATCAAAACCAATTTCTTCAGCTAAATGTTGTACTTCGTTTTGGTTTGAAATCACACGCCCAACACCTCCGTTTCGAGTCGCCAGCACCAGTCGTGCCCTCGGTTTTGGTGGATTGGACTTCCAGGGATGATTTTGGCCATGGTTATAGGCTTTATCTAAGAAGGCACGAAAATGGGTTAACGCTTGTGAATTTGGCATTAATTTAGGGTCTATGGTCATAAATCCATGTGATATGAGGCCTAAAGTGGCAGAAGGGAAACAATGGGTGGAGGTCTCGTTTTCAGGGATTATAATAGGGTGCTTGCTATAAGTGTGTAGCAAATCTCCATACTTGCTAATCCACCAATTCTGAGCATGTGATATCACGAGGATGAAATCTTGATTGTCGGGGAAAACCGAATTAACAGTGACGAAGAGGGGGATGAACCCATCGTTGAAATCATGGAAGAAGTTTCCAGTGTAACCCTCCGCACTGAATACGATTGCCGGAAGGTTGTGCTGTGCTTGACATAATTGGCTTTTTGAGTTTGAAACTAGAGTGAACTCTTGTATTCCTGCCATTATCGGCTTTTCCCACTTCCTTGGGTAAGGCCTAATCTTCTCCACGGTTGTTGAGTTTGTGGGGGCCGAAAGGTAGAGTGTGGAGTTTACAGGGTCCAGAACGGTTGGGCCGTTGATTGTGCAAAGATCGTAGAATCGGTGAGATCGGTCGCAGTTGATTTGTTGAGGTCGAGGAAGCGGTGGTGGCGGAGACGGAGGTGTTGGGTCTTTCTGGAAAACGTTATTCCGGTTGAAGACTTCAATTCCTGCAAGCACAACTCAAGAAATTACAGGGATGTCCCAAACAATGCGTGGATTAACCTGCACTTGTTTGCCCAAATCAAACAACATGAAAATTAAGAATTTATCTAATACTATTTAAAAAATTATTTATAGAGATGGTTAACTGTACAAGTATTACAGGATTTATTAAAATTTACTTTTCATACAGATTAGCATAAATTTAAACACCGATGACTATAATTAGAGAGCACATACCCTTAGCCATCTCGCCGATATTTTCTCATACATATTCGTTCAGAATTTTGGTGGTTGTCCATAACCTTTTTAAGTGATGATGAGTTTAAAGATTAAAATAATTTAAAAAAAAAAACTAAAATAACTAGAGGTTTTACCATCTTGTTATTATCTTACATCAGCAGTGTGGATTGGTATAGTGCATTCATGAGATGTAAAATGTTCGGTTTAGTCTTTGAATTTCTTTTTTTTACATTTTTTATCCTTATAGTTTTAATTTTAACATTTTAATCTTAAAACTTTATTTTTATTTAATTTCAATCCATGCCTGTTGAGACACTAGAGAGAAAAATTTCAATCAATCACATTCCAACTATTAAACAAAATTAATTTTAATGTTAATGAATTCACCTTGAATATGAAAGTTCAAATGAAGGTAATTTAGATTCTTAATTATATTAAAAAAAATAAATTAAAACCTATAAAATTTATTTAAATTTGATTTGATTTTAAATTTTAAAATTAATTTAAGAGCTTTTTGAAATTATTAATGGGGTTTTTCAACATCTAAAAGTTGTTGAAATTTATTGTAGTGGGTGACGTATTGTTTTTTTATATGGACGGTCAGCGTGTTGTCTATACATATTTATAAAAAAAATTCAAACCAGACAGTGTGGTGTCCACTTGGGCTGGGAAAAAAACACTCATGCATGCCTTGGCCTTTTTCTTTTCAAGGCCTAGCATGCGGGCTAGCTGTCCAAGCAAGTCCAAATGCATAATTTTTTTATATTATCTTTGTCAGTGTCAAAAAAGCTTTTCGAAAATATTCAAAAAAAAAAAAAAACTATTCGCCTGATAACATTTGTCGTCTGGATAGTTTCTTGAAGTGAAAAAAAACTTTCATGTCAAGGATGCTTTGATCTCTATTATGTTATGAAAATAATTTGATTTCCATGTATTGTGATGAAACTTTCTATATACATTAAGGAAATTAGTGTACCCGCATGTAATATTCTTTTTAATACAAAATTTAATAATTGAATAATATTATTCATTGATTAAAATAAAAAATTTGTAACATAATACGGGTAGTTAAACTAGTTTATTTCCAAGTGACAATGTATGAAAATAAATTAAAGTTGTGGATTTTCCAGGTAAAGTTTGTGTCATTTCTGTCAGATATATCATGTAATATGTGTCATATAATCTAATCTAAAAATTAGCTCTCATCACTAGAATGGTGGGTTAATTTGCAGGTCAGCCAATCAGTATGATTATTTTTCATCATAATAATATTATTTTGATTTTTAAATTTTTTTGGTATTAATCAATTGAGTTTAGACTAAATTTAATTTAAAGATGATTGGATTAACATAAATAAATTATTGTTTATTGAAATACTATTATTTTATTTTTTAAAATTTTTTATTATTAATTTGGTCAGATTTGGACTGGATTTAGCCAAGTTAATCATTTCATGATTCTACCTATCAAATTAATTAAGTTTAGTTATATTAAAAAAACTATCAAATTAATTAAGTTTAGTTATATTAATATTTTTTTAATTGAAACTTAATCTTAGTTAAACTCCAAATCATGAATTTTTTGATTTTTTGAGTTAACTTTGCAAGTGGATAATATTTAATAGCTATGATTTACAATTATGGCATGACTTAATTATTTGTATTTCTTTTAAAATGAAGGATACCTTCAACTTATGCAGCAATCCAGATCACCTTTTTTTTATGATCCTAAGAGTGTGCTTTGTACATCAGTTTGATACATTCAGAGAGATTTAAAAATTATTCTAGTAATAGTCTCAAGATTTCAAATTAAAAATCCAGGATGAGAGTAAACCTTCTTAACCACAGAAACATAACAGCTATTAAAAATATTCCAAGTTTTATTCAATGCATACCTGGAAAATCCTTGGACAAACAAGGCACATTTGATCTTGAGTGAATGGCATGTAATATAAAGAAGTACACGAAGAATGCGAGGCACAGTACTGTTGCAATCTTTGAATTTCTTTTATCCATGATCTGCAGTGAGGCTCCACGGATTATTAATATGGTTATGAGTGCAAGGAGCTTCTTGGCTGCAAGCTTGTGCTCAGTACAACATGTTTGGCCTTAAGAAATCAAAATCTGCCCTCTCGCCATTCCCTGTCGAGGGGAAAAGAGAAAAATACGGATTGGGAGTTAATATTACAAGGGGAGAGTTTAGAAAATGCTTCATTTCTAGCAAGCTGCCTGGACCATTTTCTAAACCACTCCTATATCAACTGCTACGTGGTCTAAGCATATACAATTAATGGAGATGAGATCAAACAGACTAATACGTACCTGACTTGAGATTTTGCTGCTAACGCAACCCTATGGATTTCTTGATCGAAACAGTCTACTGTAGTGACTGGAGGAAGAATCTTGTTGATGAAAGGAGGTGGTCAGTTCTGAAGGCTGATAATAGGATTGGTGGTCTGACCATGATGGAGAGTAACTTGAATCCATGCATGAAAGGAAAATTTGAGGGTCGGATTTGACCGAATAGGACAGTCAATCATAATGATGAGATTGTGCACTAAATTCACTTACCAAGTAATGTGTTTCACTTGAAAACGGCACCTCGCCTGTCTTATATCTGAAGAAGGGAACAAATTTAATGTTGGAACGCAGGGACAGCGTAAACATGAGTACATGCAATGTCACAGAGGAATTGGCTCCAACCAAGCATAGAAGCGTGCCACGTTGGTGGGTTTGAAGGTCCTCTTCATTCTTATCTGGTACTCCTCCAAAAATTAGTACTGGCTTAATCTATGGGTTTGAAATGGGGGAAAAATTGTGTAAAATGGAAAAAACATAGCTAGTAAACACTCAAAACAATTGTGTATTTGATGACTTTCTTCTTTCAGTAATTTCAAATATTAACAACTTCAATTTGCTCTATTACTATATAATGAGAATGGTTTTCTTTATTACGTGATTCAAAGTTTTATAGCCTCCGATTAGGAAAAAAAGTAAACGAAAAGAAAATTATATTCCTAAGCATAGGAAAATTGATAGCTGATGAATTGACAATTGATGGCTGATGAATTGTTTCGGAGGTCATACTCTAATAAAATGAAGTGGCCTACCGTCCTCCGCAGGGAAACACCGGGCCTTGAGGATTCTACCAGGGCCTTCAGCTCTGTTGGGTATTTTATATGGTTCGAAGAAAGAGTCAGAAGAGTGTTAATGCCGATCATTAGATTGGAGGTCGAGGTAAATGCACTGGCCTACTGGACCATGGACCTGGACAGTCTGGCCCGTAATACATATTTTGGTCCACTGTCCAAAACAAACATCGTTCTTTCTTTTTTTCTCTTGGTTTAACTTAATTTTTAGAATGCTCTACCAAACGACAAACTAGGGATGCTGACAGGGATTCTTTAACCAAGTCAAGAAAGGAAACTTCTCTCAGTTTTGTTTTGAGCGGACCGAGCTGCAAGTGGCTTTTTCTTAGCAATCATTGTGTTTATTTAATGGCTAGAGAGGAACGGTCTCGATCACAACGGGTAAGTGTCACCAAACTAGCTACAAATCATACATGAGAGGTTGTCTCCAACCCACAGATATTATTAAAGGTGATCGATGCTAAGTAAGCTATATAATATGTTCAGGACTGAATACCGGTATAGGTTAATTAGAGACAAAATTCGGTGTTGCCAGCTAACAGGGGAGAGGGGAAGTTATGAAGATCGATCTTTTAAAGAATTGTAGAATAGATAATTGTATATACAATGTTAATGACAACATCAACATTCATTTGACGAAGAAACTTATCAGTATCAACATGCCTGCACTAGTTGATGCTGCTAGTCGACAGCTAGCCTTCCTTGTCCATGAATCTTTTGGCTTTCACAAAAACCTCCTTTAAGTATTTCCGAAACCTAACCATGTCAAGCTTCACATTTTGGGTCTTCATATATACCTTTGCTTTTGGCCAATCTCCGTTAACAAAAGCTGGAGGGTTCTTTAGCACCAAATCATTAGCCCCGTACTTTTCTGCCAGGCTACTTTCATTGACTTCAATCTTATATTTCATGTACTCTAATCCCAAAACTCTAGCCGGCTTCTCGTAAAATGTCTTAGCAAGCCAATCTGTTCCGATTGGCACAATTTCACCTAGCACCATTCCTACTCTGAGAAACAACAAATGTGTCATTGCAGCACCATGTACCGCTAGCATTGCATGGCTTCCATGGAGTAGCCTGTATGTGTCACCCACTGCACCATTTCGTTTCGGCTCAAACACAATTGCTTTAAATCCCACCTCTTCGATTGCCTTGAGAGCTTCTTTTAAATTCAGGATCTCACGACCAACACCATTTTTTCTATTCACCAAAACAAGTTGTGGCCTAGCTCCCTTTGATTTACCAAGCGTTGAAGCATATTTACCTCGTGGACTGTATGTACTTTCTAGGAGTGCATGGAAATCAAGGAGTGTTTTATGCTGGGTTAGCGTGGGATCCACAGCCAAGGGACCGTGCGTCATTAGCCCCACGATTGCTGATGGGAAGCAATGTGTCCTGGTCTGATTGTCCATGTTGATGATGGGGTGCTCGGTGAATCGATGCAGGAGATGAGCATATTTCTGGGCCCACCAATCACTCCAATTGGTGACCGTTAGGATGACATCTCGACTGAGAGAGAGAGAGTTGATGGTGATGTAGAGAGCGAGGAGCCCATCATTGAACTGATGGTAGAAGTTTCCTGTGTACCCGCCCGTGCTGAATACTATGGCTGGACTAGAATGTGTGATTCCACAGGAGGATCTTGGTGGAGCTGAGGTGATTGTCAGTTCGTTGACTTTAGACTTGGCCCTTTCATCCGTCTTCCGAGGGTAAGGACGAAATTTTACTGCGAAGTCTGGTGATGTCGAGATAGTGGGGCCCGTTGTGAAGAATGTTGAAGTGGAGGGATCCAATAGCGTAGGGCCGTTGATAAACCACAAATCATAGTCATTGTGAGAGCAATCGCATGTGATTGGTCT